CAGCGGACGAGAGGCGGCCACAGGTGGGCAACCACAGAACACAAGCCGGACCCGCAGGTGGAGCACCGACCAGCATCCGGAAGAAAGAGAGCGGAGCCAGGAGGCGCGAGCGAAACAAACGGCCCGCGACCAAACAAACGCGAGCGAAGACGGCAGGGCAGAAACAGAGCGCAGGAGAGGCGGAAGCGCGGCGGACTCATTCACGTGGCACCCAGTGCGTGTGCGTCACCGAGAACGCCGATCACTCTCAAAGCCACCGAAGGGGGGGGGGGGGGGGGGGGGGGGGCAAAAAGGCACTCATCAAGACTTCGAAGACTTCGAACGGTGACGCACGAGGAAAGGCCATCAGCCGATGCCTTAGCACCACGGCCCGCACTCACACGGGCAACGGCCTGGGTGGGGCTATTTCAGCCGAGCGCAGGAGTGGGAACCCACGGGATGCCGCGGGTACCAAGGCGCAGTGTAATGCCCCTCGAACCCCGGAGGTGGCACAAATTGTGGCCAGAGCCATCCACTGCAAGCAGAAACACATGGGGCGGTGCCTTCAGCCGGTCGACCCTGTCCACCGCGGGCCGGCACTGCGGCCAAAACCGTGGGTGAGCTTGTCTCAGCCGACCGCGCGGGCTATACGCCCACGAGACTGTGGGGGTCTAACGCAGCGATGATCACTCCCAACAGCGACGAAGGGGGAAGCCACTAAGCGCACAGCTGGACATCAAGAGCTGGAGCACGAAAAGGGGCCGCAGCCAGCGTCCTCTGCGCCCCGGCCCGCACTCAGCGCGGGCAAAGTGTCTGGGTGGAAGCATGAGGAGGAGCGGTGGGGAAGCGCCTTCAGCAAACCGACCCGGTCCTCCACGGGCCGGCAACGCGGCCAAAACCGTCGGTGGGATTATTTCAGCCGACCGCACGGGCTACGGGCCCACGGGGCACGTGGGTGTCTAGCGCAGCTAGGGAGATGTACCTCACTCCCAGGAGGTAGCACCGGACTGAGGCCGCGGACTGCCACTGCGGTGAAACCAAACCCCACCACTGGGTGGGCCGACAGGAGCTGGCCGCTCAGTGGGAATCCATCGGCCCTGGGGCCAGCCACGACTGACCCTGCCTGCGGGAGGCGGGACCCGTGATAGCCGCGCCTCTCAGGCACTGTGCTGTGGCGACGAGGAAGGGGGGGTAGCAGCCGATAGCCGCTGGACTTGTGTGCAGATGTGGCGACGAGGGAAGGGGGGGTAGCAGCCGATAGCCGCTGGACTTGTGTGCAGATGTGGCGACGAGGGAAGGGGGGGTAGCGGCCGATAGCCGCATGACTTGTAAGCACCAGGAGGGAGAGGGGGAGAGCGGCCGATAGCCGCAGGACGTTAGTCAGAAGTGGGGACGCCCAAGGAGGAGGACAAGCCACACCTCCGGGGGGTCTCCGCGGCATACGGGCGCGGCTAGCCTTTCATGAAGGGGGGCGCCCGTTGTCCAAGGGAGCCCTAGGCCGCGCGCCTTGAGGGCTCTGGGCTGCGTCAGCCCTGCTATGGGCAGGGGGCCCCTGTCAGGCCAGTCGCCGCGCTACCAGCGTGCGAGTTCCCTTCCTCGCTGTCGCTCGTCGGCGTATTGCGCGTCACTTTTCGGGGCGGTCCTCTTTTCCCTGTTACCCCAATCAGCGCCTCTCCATGAACTCTCCTGGCGGCCCCACCCTTCCCAGCGCGGCCTTGGGTGCCATGGGGCTCCAGAGCTGGATGCTCCCGACCGGGTGGTCTCCCTGTAGTCGGTGTACACTGGCGGGGCAGTTGTGTCTGCTCTGGGCTTGCTCCACGGGTGCTGCTGGTCAGTCCCGCTGTGTGTGCGAGAGGAAGGGGCCTGCGCGCAGCCGCTTGTCCTGTCGGGTGGGGCCGGAGGAGTGGGTACGGTCTTGCTGCTGGCGGCCCAAGGGTATGGGCGGCCTTCGCTATCTTGTCCCTTGGGTGTGCTGGTCCTTGCGCTGCGCTGTAGCAGGCTACGATACTTCTCAGTGACCTTTGGCCAGTCCACTCGGAGCTGGTGGCCCCTTGCCATCTTGTAGGCGTCGTAGCCCGCTGCTTCCCAAGCCCGCAGAAATTCTTCGCAAAGCTGAAGTGTGTTCCTCTTGGGGTCCGAATGGGTGCGGACCCAAGGCAGACCTTGCCAGCTGCCTGCCCTGCGGACCCACGCCGTCCACACCCCGTTGAATGCGCCTCCGAACGTCTTCTGCAGTCTGATGACCTTGTCTGGGGCTGGCTCGTCTCTCTGAATGTCGGCCTCGTAGATGGACCTCATGTACATGGGAAGCCCCCCCAAGGGGTCGTCTCGATGCGGAGGTGGGAATGGATCTGCCTGTGGGCGAGGCCGTCTGTCAGGGCTGCTGTCCTGCCGGGGGCTAGGCGGCGGACGGGTCTCGCGGACAGACGCGGCGTGCTCAGGGATAGACTCCTGGCGGCAGTCTGGCTTGCTCCTTGTCCCTCTTAGGTCCCTGCCGTCACGGATCTTTTCCATGTCCGCCCGGGAGCGGGCCGTGGCGTAAGGCGCCCAGGTGGCCGCCTCCTCCTTTGAAGGGGGGTCTGTCCACAGCACTGTCCGCCTGTGGGGACCATCTCTGTCGCTGGGGCCGTGGGCTTCGGTCTCCTCGGCCTGCTGCGAGGGACTGCCGACCATGGAGACGGTCCTGTCTGGTGGGTTGTCCTCATCTCAGTCTACCTCGAATGGGTTGTCGCCATTACCGTGGACGTCCCTGTCCGGGGATGGCTCCTCCTTTATCTCTTTGCCCGCCGTTGTAGCTACCGGGGGTTGCTGGCGGAGGTCATCGCCGGGGGTGCGGACGTCTGAGGCTGCCGATGGGCTCGCTCCAGAAGGCGGCGGGGGAATGATATCCCATGCCGCTGTTGTTCCCGGCGTTGCGCTCGCCGGCGAGGAACTCCAACGTTCCCCCTGCGAGGTCGTCCTTCATTTGGGATAAGAAGCGGTGCAGCGTGTCCAACGGCTGTCGCTGGGGGCATTGTCCACTTTGGCTGCTGAGCGAGTCGGAGAAGGAGCGCCAGGCCTCCTGGTACTTCTGATTCCTCCCAACCAGCTGCGTGATGGCATTGGCCGCGGCAGCTCTCTGCCCGTCCCACGGGATGAGAGGGGGATGTCCATTCTTGGGGATCTGGTCCCCGTAGATGGATTCCAGGAAGCGCAACAGTTGGTTGTGTGACCATTCCGATTCATCGCTGTCTTCACCCACTCTGTCTCCGTTCCTTTTCCCCCCGAAGGTCGTCCAGCGGATGTAGACCTCGTGGTTCCATTCCAACAGACACTTCACAAGTTTGCGAACTGGTGGGGATACGCGAAGCGTCTAGAATACCCTGCAAATCGTGCCTCTGCAATACCCTGCAATAACCTGCAAAACGACCCTGCAATACCCTGCAAAACGACCCTGCAATACCTTGCACAACCCTGCACACGACCCTGCAAAACGACGCTGCAATCTCACCAGCCCTCTGGGCGTAGGTCTTTTAGGGAGTTTCCTCTTCCAACCTCCTTCTTCCCCTTCGGAGAGGGGTTCATTCCTCCCCCTACCCCCTCCCCTGGACCTGGACGGAAGCGGTCGCGAGGTGTCGGAGTGTACATTTTCGGCCACGACGGATCCAAGAGCGCCTCGGAGAGCCCAAAAAGCCTCCAATATGGCTCCAGATAGCCGAAGATGCGTCAAGATGGCTCCGAAGATGCTCCAAAAGGCCCCAAGACCGCCCCAAGCCGGCTCCCAGAAACCAAAAAGCTTCGAGAAGTATTCAACAGACCTCCCACCCCAAGAGGCTTCAGGAGGATCCCCGAGGCACCCAAGACCACCCAACCAAGACGCTCCAAGAGATTTCCAAAACGACTCCATTGGGGACTCTGGGGGCTACGACGTGAATTACCGACGAAACTACCTTTAACTCGCGATCACAACAAATCACCCATCCACTCGCAACTTGTTGGCAAAACCGAAACGGTCCACGATTGCCGCGACTTGCCAACAAATTTGAAGAGCCACGCGGGCCCTTGCAAACCTATGACCTGGGCAAGCGGGTCGCCGCCAGTCGATACGACGCGAAACCACCGTACGTGGGAGAAGCTCCGCTTGCAAGTAACGGCTGCGCGCGCAGGGCACTCCGGAGACGGCGGGTCGCCAGTCGCAGCGCTGTTGTCTAGACCAACCAATACCCAGGGCGAGTTCCAAGTGCCTCTCGACCAGCCCTGGCTGTCGCTTTCCTTGACCCAGGCGCCCGTGCCCCCCGGTTCTCTTTCATGATTTCTCGTCCACCCGAGAATCCCGCGCGAAGACCGCCGACACCCGTGAGGAGTCACCGACGTGTAACATGCTTTCCCAGCTCCACCACCCCAAGATGGCCCAAGGACAGCCAGAGAAACCTCGAAAACAAGCCCACCGCAACCCGTGAAGCCATAAAACCGCCGCGGCAAAGCCCCCCAAACTGCTCGCATGCGCGGCGGAAAAGCCAACCGCACCCGAACTCAGTTTACAATCGCCCCAAGAAGCCCCCAAATTCCACCAGGGGCCCCCAGAAGCCATCTCTTTATCTTCCCGCCCTCCCTCCTCCTCCACCTCCTCCTCCACCTCCTCCTCCTCCTCCTCCTCCTCCTCCCCCTCCTCCTCCTCCCTCCTCCTCCTCCTGCTCCTCCTCCTTCTCCTCCTCCTCAACCTCCTCCTCCTCCACCCCCTCCTCCTCCTGCTCCTCCCCTCCCCCTCCCTCACGACTTCGATGTACTGACACAACCCTTCGAGCTCTCTTCGAAGTTTCCTCTGGCCCTCTTGGGGCTCCCCTAGAAGCCTTTAGAGCTCTATGGAGCCCTCCTTGTGCTATCTTGGGGTTCGCTTGGCCCGTCTCCAGGCCCTCGGGGGCCGGTTTATGGCTCTCCTCCTGGCTGCGACGGACGCAGAGCAGCCTTTCCACGGTTTGCAAAGAAGCTGTGGTGAGCGGTCCCGCGGAAAAAACCTAGGGGTCGGCGGATGTGGCGTAAGCCTATAGAATCGCGGACTGCAAACACGTCATGTTCGCGATACGCGTGCACAATCTGTCTGAGAAGAAATAGAACGTCAAAAAAGTTGGTACTGCGGCAACCTTAATCACGAACGCCGTGTCGGGCAACACCACGCACCCAAAACGGAGTTGCATGTCGGAGTTGACTATAGCGTGGACCCAGGAAGTGCATGAAGTGACGACAGTGTGAAACGCGTCGAAATTCGAGTCCAATATGTGAGGAAACGTGGCGTAGAGCGTAACTACCCATCCCGACGATGCCTGCAAGAAAAGGAACAATATCCGGCCTTGCACCTTCACTACACGCATGGCGTGCGAGGTCAACAACTTCTCAAGCCGACTCGCAGCCCCTGCCACTGACTGGCTCACTCTGGAAGCATGCGAGGCGACAGTAATAGACACAGCAAAACTGTCCGCCAAATCGCCCGTGGAAACCTCAATGGCACTTTGATCCGTATCGGCAAAGTTAAGAATCTGGCTGGCGTCGGGTCCGAATTCCCTCAGCGCAGGCCAGATAATGGCGATCGCAGCGAACACTGCCATGACAATATAGAACCGAATCCCAGCTCCAGCACACGGTACGCAACGCGAGTCAGAGCGTCCGAATCCATCTGCGCAAATCGCGCATGCACTGCCGGTGTAGCCGTTTGAGCAGTTGTTGTCTTCTAGACATGCGCCATCCCTCTCGCCCAAGGGGCACTTGACAGGCATTGCATTGTCCCCAGCAGGGAGCCAGTGTCTCGAAATCGCGGACACCACAACTCCATCAACACACACGCCACCCTGTGGACAAGGCTCGCACGTGCTGCTCCCGACTAGCATTGTCCCAGCTGGACAAACGCAAGATGATCGGCTGTTGGTAGGCTGAAGGTCACCTGGGCATGCCTTGCAATTCGAAACTCCCTGCTCAGAAACCGTGTTGCCTTCGCACTCCTGGCACAACGTGTCACCAAAAGAATACTTTCCAGCAGCGCAATCCTTGCAACTACTAGCGCTGCTGCTTGACATCTTCCCGGGTGGACAATCCTCACAAGTGATTGATCCCTGATTCGAAATCCGCCCCGTCTCACAGACTTGGCACTGCCCGTCGCCAGCCCAGTACTTGCCAGCGCTGCAATTTTCGCAAGCGCTACCACCTCTGTTCGGAACTGTCCCCACGGAGCAAGGCGTGCAAGCAGCATCACCAATGCCTGAAATGGTTCCCGCCTGACACAGCTGGCAGACGGAGTCACCAGCCGAATATTCTCCTGCATCGCAGTCTTTGCAATAGCTTGAACTGCTATGTGGCATCTTCCCTGCTTCACATGCCACGCAAACGTCTTGCCCCTGATTCGGAATCTCGTGCGGCTCACACTGCGAGCAACCATCACTTGTAAGGATTTCGCCTCGCGAGCAATTGCCGTTCGCGTAAGTGATGTTTACATCCGCTGGGAATGCCAACTGTCCCCAACTGGGTTTGGGGAAAAACATGGTCACGTGTCGCAAGTAGGAGTTCGACCAAAATGCGCGGTCAAACACGGCCCGAAGCGTGGACGGAAGCCTCACCTCTGTGAGCGATGTGTTCTCGAAAGCGGAATTCCTGATGATGAGAGCCCCTTCTGGGATCGAGACGGACTGCAAGGACGAGTCTGCAAAAGCGAACTCGCCGATTAGATAGATCGAGCTCGGTATTACGGCTTTGCGCAAGTTAGCGCACCCCTGCCATGCATGCGAAAGAACCTCAAACCCCTCACACACGTACACGACATCATCACACGTTCCTTCGGAGCTGCAAGCTATGCATCTGTTTGATTCCTTGTGGCAATAACTGCTGTTCGTGGTTGTGCAAATGTTCGCACCACACCCGCAGCGGCCCACCGTCGTGTCAAACAAATCTGTTGCGTCGATGTTTGAACACGCCGGCACACATGTGCTGCTCGCGAAGTAGCACAATTCATCCTGATTGCAAGTCGCAGTGCCGCACTTGCACGGGTACGACGTGCCAGCTTCGTCGAAGTTGGCACATGGCAGCAGTGTGGGTGCAGGCGTGGGCGCCGACGTTGGGGCGAAGGTCGGGGCAACCGTCGGGGGCGGAGTCGGCACGCCTAGTAGATGCGTAGGAGCAGGCGTGGGGAGAAACGTAGGAACAAGCGTTGGAGAAGCCGTCGGAGAAACCGTGGGAGCGGACGTCGGGGAATATGTGGGAAGTGCTGTGGGGGCATACGTCGGAGCCGCACTGCACTCTAGAACGGTGCAAGTTCCACTGTAGAACGGTGGTTCTGATATGGGGTTTATTACCCCCTCGAACCCAGCATTGCACGTACATCCGTCCGCCACGCTGCTTCCTGTTGAATTGCCTGGGCAATTCACGGCCTCGCAGGATCCGCTGTAGTATGGTTCGATCGTCGTTGCCGTGATCGCGTCAGCAGAATAACCAGCCTCGCATGTCCATGTGCCAGAATAGCCAGGATTACACACACATCCGTTGGCTACACTGGTCCCCGAAGAACCCGCCGGACACGCCACTGCAACGCACGATCCATTGTAGAACGGAGCTTCCGATGCAGGCCGAATTGCTCCCATGTGCCCAGGTTCGCAAGTACAACCCTCTGGTACACTTACTCCTGTGGAATGTTCAGGGCAATTCACTGCAATGCACGAACCGTTGTAGAATGGATAATCTTTTGCAGGCCATATCGAACCCGAGTGGCCCGCATCGCACACACAGCCATGCCCCACACTGTGCCCTGTTGAGTTGTCTGGGCAATCGGAGTCCTGAGCTATCGCCACATTAGAAAGACTATAAACAGTGCGAGCCACGGCCGGGCCGCTATTCCTGGGAATTTTTGGAATTTCTGGAATTTCTGGATTTGTGGAATTTTTGGAATTTCTGGGATTTCTTTGTTTGATGTGTGCGTTCCAGAAATTCTAGAAATTCAATGAATTCCAGAAATTCCCCGGACATCCAGATAATCCAGAAATTCAAAAAAAAACCTACAAATTCCGCAAATTCCCGGCAAAGGCAGAAATTCGTAGGAAATTCAGAAAACCCATAAATTCCAGAAAATTTTAGGATATCAAGAAATTCTGAGAAAATTCTAGAAATTCCACAAATTCATGGAAAATGCAGAAATTCGTAAAATTCATGCGAAATCCAGAACATCCAGAAATTCCCCCCCCCCCAAAAAAAAACGATCCAGAAATTCGCGAAAATTCCAGAAATTCCTAGGAAATCCAGAAAGTCCTGGGAAATCCAGAAAGTCCTAGGAAACCCAGAAATTCCAGAAAATTCCAGATATTCCAGAAATTCAAGAAAGTTCTAGGAAATTCCGAAAATCCACAAATCCCAGAAATTCCGCAAATTTCCGGAAAATCGAAAAATTCCAGAAATTCCAGAAATTCCTGACATGTTCTGGAATTCTGGGGTTTCAGGTTTTTTGTGTGTGTTGACAGTTCTGTATTTTTTTTTCATAAGTTCTGTGGTTTCTTTGTTTGGAGTGTGCGTTCCAGAAATTCCAGAAATTCGCAGGAAATCCAGAAATTCCAGAAATCCCACATCATCCCGGAAAATCAAAATATACCAGATATTTCCAGGAAATCCAAAATTCCAGAAATTCCAAAAATTTCACCCAAAAAAAAAACAACAAAAACAACAAAAAAAAACAAAAAAAACGGAAATCGACATATTCCAAAAATTCCATACATTCCGCAAATTCCCAGACAGTCAACAAAATCCTAGAACTTCCTAGGGTATTCAGAAAATCCAGAAATTCCAGAAAATCTATAAATTCCAACAATTGCCGGAAAATCGAGTAAATCCAAAACTTTCTGAAAATTCTAAAAATTCAGCGGAAATCCAGAAAATCCCAAAGAGCCCAGAAAATCCAGAAATCCAAAAAAATCTAGAAACTCAAAAAAAACAGATATTCCAGAAATTCTAGATATTCCAGAAATTCCAAAACGTCATTGGAAATCAAACAAATCCAGAAAATCCAAAAATTCTACAAATTTCCGGACAATCTGGTAATCCCAAAAAAAAATCAAGAAATCTCCAACTTCTACAAATCCCTGAAATTCCAGCCATTCCAGAATTTCCAGACATTCCAGCAATTCCAGAAATTCCAAACATTCTAGAAATTCAAGAAATTCCAGACATTCCAGAAATCCAACAAATGTTCAAAACATTCTTGGACATGGGAAAGTGCGTGGTGAGTGGCGCATTGTGAGTAGTGCGTTGTGGGTATATCTGAGTAGTGCGTTGTGAGTATATCCAGAAAATCCCGACATTCCAGAACTCGCTAAATCCCGGGAGTTTCACAAATCCAATAGGTCCTCAGAAAAGCAGGGCCGTGAGTAGGGAGTTGGGGATACGGAGTGAGTCTTTGGCCGCGAGTAGAGAGTAGGGGATAGGGAGTGGGGAGTAGGGAGTAGTGAGTCGCGGGTCGTGAGTAGTGAGTGTGTAATTCTCAGTAGGGAGTAGCGATTAGGGAGTAGCGAGCAGCGAGTTGCGAGCAGCGAATTGCGAGTAGGGAGAAGGGAGTAGCGAGTTGCAAGCATCGAGTTGCGAGCAGGGAGAAGGGAGTAGGGAGAAAGGAGTAGCGAGTCAGGCCAGGGGGAAGCAGCGTGTAGTCCTGGTATGAGGTGATCGTGGCTAACAACGTTACCGACAAGCTCGTGAGACTGCTGGTCTCAGTCGTGCTGGTCACGCTGGTGCTGCTGGTTATGCTGGCGCTGGTGCGTGTGCTGCTGCTGGTTCCTGTCACGGTGGTGCTGCTGCTGGTTGCGGTAGTGGTGCTGTGCGTGGTGCTGCTCCTGGTGGTCGTGCTGGTCACGGTGGTGCTGCTGGTTGCGCTGGTGCTGCTGCGCGTGGTGCTGCTCCTGGTGGTCGTGCTGGTCACGGTGGTCCTGCTGGTTGCGCTAGTGGTGCTGTGCGTGGTGCTGTTCTGTTGGTCGTGCTGGTCACGGTGGTGCTGCTGGTTGCGCTGGTGCTGCTGCGCGTGGTGCTGCTCCTGGTGGTCGTGCTGGTCACGGTGGTCCTGCTGGTTGCGCTAATGGTGCTGTGCGTGGTGCTGCTGCTTCCCGTCATGCTGGTCATGGTGGTGCTGCTGGTTGCGCTAGTGGTGCTGGTTCCGCTAGTGGTGCTGCGCGTGGTGCTGCTCCTGGTGGTCGTGCTGGTCACGGTGGTGCTGCTGGTTGAGCTGGTGCTGCTGCGCGTGGTGCTGCTCCTGGTGGTCGTGCTGGTCACGGTGGTGCTGCTGGTTGCGCTAGTGGTGCTGTGCGTGGTGCTGCTGCTTCCGGTCGTGCTGGACACGGTGATGCTGCTCGTTATGCTGGTGCTGCTTCTGGTTCCGCTAGTGTTGCTGCGCGTGGTGCTGCTGGTTCCCGTCGTGCTGGTCACTGAGGTGCTACTGGTTGCGCTAGTGATGCTGCGTGTGGTGCTGCTGGTTCCGGTCGTGGTGGTGCTGCTGGTTCCTGTCACGGTGGTGCTGCTGCTGGTTGCGGTAGTGGTGCTGTGCGTGGTGCTGCTCCTGGTGGTCGTGCTGGTCACGGTGGTGCTGCTGGTTGCGCTGGTGCTGCTGCGCGTGGTGCTGCTCCTGGTGGTCGTGCTGGTCACGGTGGTCCTGCTGGTTGCGCTAATGGTGCTGTGCGTGGTGCTGCTGCTTCCCGTCATGCTGGTCATGGTGGTGCTGCTGGTTGCGCTAGTGGTGCTGGTTCCGCTAGTGGTGCTGCGCGTGGTGCTGCTCCTGGTGGTCGTGCTGGTCACGGTGGTGCTGCTGGTTGAGCTGGTGCTGCTGCGCGTGGTGCTGCTCCTGGTGGTCGTGCTGGTCACGGTGGTGCTGCTGGTTGCGCTGGTGCTGCTGCGCGTGGTGCTGCTCCTGGTGGTCGTGCTGGTCACGTGGTGCTGTTGCCTGCTGGTGCGCTAGTGGTGCTGGGCGTGGTGCTGCTCCTGGTGGTCGTGCTGGTCATGCTGGTGGTGGTGCTGCTGGTTGCGCTGGTGCTGCTGCTGCGCGTGGTGCTGCTCCTGGTGGTCGTGTCACGGTGGTGCTGCTGGTTGAGCTGGTGCTGCTGCGCGTGGTGCTGCTCCTGGTGGTCGTGCTGGTCACGGTGGTGCTGCTGGTTGCGCTAGTGGTGCTGTGCGTGGTGCTGCTGCTTCCGGTCGTGCTGGACACGGTGATGCTGCTCGTTATGCTGGTGCTGCTTCTGGTTCCGCTAGTGTTGCTGCGCGTGGTGCTGCTGGTTCCCGTCGTGCTGGTCACTGAGGTGCTACTGGTTGCGCTAGTGATGCTGCGTGTGGTGCTGCTGGTTCCGGTCGTGGTGGTGCTGCTGGTTCCTGTCACGGTGGTGCTGCTGCTGGTTGCGGTAGTGGTGCTGTGCGTGGTGCTGCTCCTGGTGGTCGTGCTGGTCACGGTGGTGCTGCTGGTTGCGCTGGTGCTGCTGCGCGTGGTGCTGCTCCTGGTGGTCGTGCTGGTCACGGTGGTGCTGCTGGTTGCGCTGCTGCTGCGCGTGGTGCTGCTGCTTGCAGTCGACGTCAGGACACCGATGCAGATGTACTGGTAGTTCTGGTAAGCCACGGCTGTCTCGGAGGTGGAATCCCCAAAGTAAATATATGACTTACTTCCCACGTACACGCAAGTGAAAGACATGAACTCTCCAGTATAATCCTTAGTCGTAGCAGAGCTGAGGTTGAGCAGCGCCATGGCAGGTCCAAAACATTCCACATATTCTGTTACGTCCTGCATGCTGGCCTCGTAGCAGGTCTGGCCAGGGGGAAGCAGCGTGTAGTCCTGGTACGAGGTGGTCGTGGCTGACAACGTTACCGACAAGCTCGTGAGGCTGCTGGTCCCAGTCGTGCTGGTCACGCTGGTGCTGCTGGTTATGCTGGCGCTGGTGCGTGTGATGCTGCTGGTTCCGGTCACGGTGGTGCTGCTGGTTGCGGTAGTGGTGCTGTGCGTGGTGCTGCTGCTTCCGGTCGTGCTGGTCACGGTGATGCTGCCCGTTATGCTGGTGCTGCTGCGCGTGGTGCTGCTGGTTCCTGTAGTGCTGGTCAAGGTGGTGCTGCTGGTTCCGCTAGTGGTGCTGCGCGTGGTGCTGCTGCTTCTGGTCGTGCTGGTCACGGTGGTGCTGCTGGTTGCGCTGGTGCTGCTGCGCGTGGTGCTGCTGCTTCCCGTCGTGCTGGTCACGGTGGTGCTGCTGGTTGCGCTGCTGCTGCGCGTGGTGCTGCTGCTTGCGGTCGACGTCAGGACACCGATGCAGATGTACTGGTAGTTCTCGGAGGGCTGGGCTGCCTCGGAGGTGGCATCTCCAAAGTAAAGATTTGACGTACTTCCCACGTACACGCAAGTGAACGAGATGATTTCTCCAGTATAATCCGTAGTCGTAGCAGAGCTGAGGTTGAGCAGCGCCATGGCAGGTCCGAAGCACTCCGCATGTCCTGTTACGTCCTGCATGCCGGCCTCGTAGCAAGTCTGGCCAGGGGGAAGCAGCGCGTAGTCCTGGTACGAGGTGGTCGTGGCTGACGACGACGCTGACGCAGTCGTGCCAGTCGTAGTCGTAGTTGTGTATATCCCTGTGCAGATGAATCGGTACTGACTGGAGCCATAGGTGTACACGCTCTGCGTCTCCGCGAAGACCAACATGTCCCCGAGAACGTCGTAGGCGCAACGGATCCCACCCACCGGTACAGGGAACACATACGTGCTGTTGGTGTACACAGCAACCTCGGGCGCTGCGGTAACGAAACACTCCGTTGAGTTGAGGGGGTCGTCCAGGCCCACGTCGCTGCACGTCTGGCCTGGCGGTGCACGGTTTCCCCCGGGGTCGTAGGCGACCCGAGGAGGAGGAGGAGGAGGAGGAGGAGGAGGAGGAGGAGAAGGAGGTGGAGGTGGAGTAGTGGGAGGAGGATATGGAGATGGAGGAGGAAGAGGAGGAGGAGGAGGAGGAGGAGGAGAGGAGGAGGAGGAGGAGGGAGGAGGGGGAGGAGGAGGAGGAGGAGGAGGAGGAGGAGAGAGGAGGAGGACGGGTCGCCTAAGCCCTTCGGAGAAACCCTCCAGCCTGGCGGCAAGAGTGAATAGCCGGACGCCGCAGAGAACTCCCTGGCCGGTGGCAGCCCCGCGGGCGCGGCCCAGAAGAGCGCCCCCTCTCGGAGGCTGCGGTGCGCGGCGCGGCGGCCCGCGGCGCTCCCTGAACGGCCTGGCCCAGCCGGCAGGCCAGCTGGGGCAACAGCGCGCACTCTCGGTGCTGGCGCCGTGCCTGCCGCCGCCCCCGGGGCAGCCGATGCAGCGGGCGCCGCCGTCCAGGGTGCCCACACGGCACGCAGCGTCGCCCACGCCAGCAGCGCAGCCAGCATAGCGGAGCTGGCGGAAGGCCGTGGGAAGCGCGTGCTGGGCCGCTGGACCTTGAGCCCAAGCGGCTGCGGAGGTGACACAAGTGGAGCCGCGGGGTGGCCCTCGCGCCGCCCCGCGGAGAAGGACAGCTCCACCGCTCAGGCGGCGTCCCGCGCGAAGCGCCGTGATCTTCGGACCCCTGCGAGCGAGCTGCGTGGCCAGCAGGCTCAAGGCCCCGCCGCGCGAGGGAACGCCAAGGACGCTCAGTGTAACTCCAGGGTGAACATTTTTTATTCGGCGTTTCGACATTGGGCGGAAAGGGGGGGGAGGGGGTGTCTGCCTCCAGACCTCTGCTTAGTGTGACTGTACGCAATAGTGCGCCCCATGGGGAGACTCCACCTGCTCGAAGCAGGCGCCCAAAAACAGCCAAGATCTACTCCATGGGCGGGGGGGGGAGGGGAGGGCACGCGCCGATCGGCAAAAAGATGAATCAAAAACGATCGCAGGGGAGACCGCCAGAGTCTGGGGAACGTTCATGAAATGGCTGGGGGAAGTCTGGGGGAAGTCCAGAAAAAGAACTGGGGGAATCCACGGCTGGAAACGAACACCTTGCGCTAACGAAAGAGCTGGCTCGTGCGGCGGAAAAAACAATGACGCCAATTGGCCGGCTCACCGTTGGAACAATGGCGGGAAACAGAAAAAAAAAAAAAAAAAAAAACACATACACACTCATATACACAAATAAGTACATCCCCAGGCCGAAAGTTTTTTCCTCTTGAACTGAGAATATGAGAGCATCAATGGATCAAATGGGATCCCATTTCGGGTGTGGGAGAGTTTCGTGGATCCTATTTCTGTGTTGCGCAGATCCAATTTCCTGCGTGGAAAAAACCATGGATCCATTTATTTCCCGGGAATTAATATGTTAAGATAGTAACCAACATCTGGGACCCAGGGGAAATGAGATCTGCGGAGCACCGCAAGTGAAGCATCATGCTATCCACGGAGCTGTGGATGTGCAATGTGGATGTGTGACCATCCTTTGCCATCCTCCTTCACATGCCCTCCTCCTCATTGTCCTCCTATTTCTCGTCCTCCCTCCCCCTCATCATCACCATCATCAGCGTCATCACCATTATCATCATCATCATCATCATCATCATCATCATCATCATCATCATCATCATCATCATCGTCATCATCAGCATCATCATCGTCATCATCATCATCCCTGTCATCACCATCAACTCGACGTCACCAGCATCCACAACATCATCACCTCAACTTCCATCGTTGCCGTCATCGTCGTCATCATCATCATCACCATCATCGCCACCGTCACCGCTATCACCACCATACTCGTCGTCATCGTCATCATCACCGTCACCATCATCATCAGCATCATCAACACCATCATCATCATCATCATCATCATCATCATCATCATCATCATCATCATCATCATCATCATTATTCGCTTCCTCCCCAATTTTACGCCTCCAGAATAAAGCGGATGCCGCCACACACGCTTTAGGCTAGCTCACAACTCCTCCTCTTCCTCGTTATCCTTCTCCCTCTCATCGTCCTCCTCCTCGTCATGAGCATCCACCGCATCATCCGCCTCCAACTTCCCCCTGTCCTCCTCCTCCCCCATGTCGCGCTTCAGGAAAAAAAAAGCGGATGCCGCCACACACGCTTTACGCGAGCTAACACTTATTCCTCCTTCTCCTCGTACTCCTCCTCTTGCTCATCATCGTCATCCTCCTCCTCCTCATCGTCCCCCTCCTCCTCCTCACGGGCACCTCCTCATCGTCACCTCCTCCTTATCGTCCTCCTCCTCCTCATCGTCATCCTCCTCCTCATCGTCATCCTCCTCCTCCTCATCGTCCTCCTCCTCCTCCACATCGTCCTACTCCTCCTTCACCTCATCGTCCTCCTCCTCATCGTCCTCCTCCTCCTCATCATCATTCTCCTCCTCATCGTCCTCAACCCACCCACAACCAGGCACGGGCCCCACTGACCACAACCCAGGCACACGAGAGAACCCAAGACAACGGACCGACCCACGCCCAGGCACCAGCGGACCCATGGCCCATGGTTCGGCAAGAAAGCACGGCCACGCCCAGAGGCGAGGGCAACACCTGCCGCCCTCCTCCGTCATCCGGCTCCTCCCTCTTCCTGCTTTTCATCCTCCTCCTCCCTCCCCCCTCCCTCCCTCATCATCATCAACCTCCTCCTCCTCCTCCTCCTCCTCCTCATCATCATCATCATCATCATCATCATCCTGCACCGGCCCGGCCGCGCAAGCTCGCGCCCGCGCGCGCGGGGCGGGACGGGCGACGACGACGACGACGAGGACGACGACGACGACGACGACGACGACGACGACGACGACGACGACGACGACGGCGGCGACGACGACGACGACGACGACGACGACGACGGCTAGGGGTATGGGGGTAGGGCTATGGGGCTACTGGGTAGGGCTATGGGGCTATTGGTGGTAGGGCTATGGGGCTATTGGGATGTAGGGCTTTAAGGCTATGGTGCTGTGGCTGTAGGGCTGTATGGCTATGTGGTTATTGGGATATTGGATCATAGAGCCATGGGGCTGTGCGGCCATGAGGCTTTAGGGCCATGGTGCAATGGGGATATGAGGGCTATAGGGCTATAGAGGTGACGAGAAGTGACGCAGAGCAGGCAGGAATTCCATCACAGGTCGAAGGAGCAGGGGCGCAGGCGCGCACGCGACCTCTGCAGGAAATCGCGCCGAAACGGGAAGGCAGAGGCAAGAGGGCAGGCGACGGCGCAATGATCCGGATGAGGCGGAGGAGGCGAGCAGACGACCAGGATGCATTGACGCGCCCAGCACCAGTCGTATGAAAATATTATACAGCTCATTGCTGCTCATCCGCAGCAGCGGCGAAATGCCCGTCGAATGGCTCAAAGAGTGGGCTCATAGCGCGCGCCGCGGCCGTCAGATCGGCATGCCTGTCAGGCAGATTGCCGAGCGCGTCGGGCTCCGCCCACATGCTCAAAGCGTGGGCAGCCGTGGCGAGATTTTCCAACCGCTCTGCCAAGAGGGAGTCCGCCTCCGCCCACGCCCATGCAGGCAGGAGGCGAACGTGAAAGTGCCTGTAGTTGTACCGCAAGAACCCCAAGGCAGCAAGGACGTCAAACCACGCCCGAGACATCAGGCGCGCGCTGGACGGGAACATGTCCAACATTGACGCCCACAACCGTTCCACAGGGATTGTCCCTGAGTGAACGGGGATCCTGGCCGCGTGCAGGCCGAGTGCAATGTCTCTCCAGCGCCAGAGGCCCTCCTGGCGCTTCGGCTTCAGGAATCTCTTATGATGTAACTCCACCTTCTGGTTCCAAACCGTGCGCAGGCCGCGCGCGCGGAGGACCGCCCGCTTCGACCTGCGTATGCCGAGGCGGCGACGCGTCAGCTTACGGCCGGGCTGGTACCACCGCTTGATGGCCCGGGCCTCGCGCCTCAATGCCTTCTGGCTGCTGCAATTCCTGCGCTGGAGCGACGGGTGCAAGCGGGCGCCCAGGCGCCGGCAGATGCGCTGCAGAGTTCCCCTCGGCGGGCGGGCCTGGAATACACGCCGCCATAGGGGGGGCGGTCCACCCGAGGCCCCCCCAGGAAGGACCGCACCTCGGCCAGCGCAGCCGGACCCGCCGCGGCCACGCTGCGCTTGACAAGCGCGGCCGGGTGGAGGGCGGCCCCCTTAAGTAGGGCTTCTGCTGGTTGGCCCAGGCCGCCGCGGACCGGGCCGCGCGCGCTGCAGTCCGTCTCGCCGACGGGCCTCTCGGACAGGCGAGCTATCATATCCGCCCAATCGAGGACGAATTCGGAGCAGTCGTCGCTCGCTGGGGAAGCGGCTCTGCGCACGTTGATGATATCGTGCACGGGCCCCCCAACAGCGAGCGCGGGCGCGAGCCCGTGTTCGGCCACGGACGCCCCCACGGCGTCGCCTTTCGGCGTCGTCGAAGATACCTGGACGGCCAAGTCGGGAAACATCTCGCGGTAGTAGTCCTCGATGAGATCCTTGTGGTTCCCGTGCATATCGGTGCTGTGGCACACCGGGGCCGCCTCTCTCAATGGCAGGCCGTGCCGCAGGCGGTCGGCTCGCAGGCGCGCGATGGCGTCGCCCAAGTCTTCCCGCACGTCGTCCCAGGCCTCAGACTTCGCGGGCGTCAAGGGTTTGAGCAGGCACCCGTCCGTGCCGCACCAAGCCAGCATGACGTTGAAGTCCTTCTCCGCGAACGGGTCTTCCTTGCTCCTGCACCCGATTCTCTGGGCCAAGTCATGGTTGCCATCCCCTCGGATGATCTGCCCGCTGTAGATGTGGATCCGCCTCCGCATACGCTGCACTGCGCCCGCCAGGAACGACCCCAGGGCCTTGCAGAGGATGGCGCGCATCACGCGGCACCGCGGCAGCGCAGTCACGGTCCGCGCCAGGGCGGACTCCGAGAAGAGCGAGCTGGCCGCGTAGAGCTCGCAGAGCTTCCGGCGAGTGGCCCTGGCTATATGGGCTATAGAGCTATAGGGCTATGTAGGCGTCAAGTAGCACCGCAGAGCAGGCAGGAATTAAAGCAGAGGTCGGGGGGGCAGGGGCGCAGGCGCGACAACGCGACCTCTGCAGGAAATCGCGTCGAAACGGGAAGGCAGCGGCAGGCGGGCAGGCGATGGCGCAATGATAAGGAGGCGGCGGGGGAGGCGATCAGGTGACTAGGACGCATTGTCGCGCCCAACGCCTGGCGTTCAGCACGTCGTAGAAAGACAGGACCAGGTGGACGAGGAACCGCTTGGTCATGTAGGTTCCTCGTCCATGTAGGTGGGCAGAACCAGGCATTATCCTGATAGGTTCCACTGGGGTGGGCCGAGCGCCCGCGTCCTCAAGGGAAGCCAGCGTAGCTGCCGCGCTCGCGTATCTGGCAAAGGCAACCTGCCTCAGAGCCTGCTCGAGGAAACCCGGCACACCGGCCATGGCGCCCGGAGATCTCTGAAGACGGAACGCACGCTTCCCTTTGGAGCAAAACCTCTTGGCCGACACGAAAGGGAGGCCAATGTCGCTGAGGTCGGCTTGCTTGCACGTGAAGACGCAGCGGAGGTATGCCACGTGGGGCGCGGGGTCGGTCCGGTCGGCCTCGACAGGGATCGTATGCGCCATGTGTGCGCGATGTCTGGTGAAGCATTTCAGAATCATCACAGGACGTCCTTCGCAGTCGGCGAACATGCCCGGCGAGGGCGCCATGTTACCTGGTTCATCTTCGACCGCGCACGCGGAGAAGAGCCTGCAGCCCATCGCCTGCACGAGTATCGGGACAGTGCGGCCGCTCCGCTGGCCAACCTCTGGACAATCCCAATGGACCGGGCCGCCGGCTCTCCGGGTCGGGCCGTGCTTGGGGCCGGATCTTCAATCGCCTCAACCAGGGCGGGGCGGGCAGCTCTGTCGGAAAGAAGATCCGTGCATCGCTTCTCCGATGCGGCGGCCGGCCAGGAAGTCGGGCGTTAGTTTCCGGCCGCTGTCGCTCCGCACGTGGTGAGCCCAACCCTCAGACCGATTCGGCCGGACCTCCCCTGGAATGCACTTCGGCCGCTTGCGCGGCCTGCTGGCATTGGCTCCCGGCATCTCAGGGAAGCTCGCCGGCTGGCGGCGGCTGTGGGCCTCGGATCTCGACCTCCAGGTCCCGGAACCTATCCCGCAGGATGGCGATGGCCACGAGCGCGGCGTTGCGGTGCAAAGCAAGCAGCGTTGCCCGCACGAGGCCCCAAATGCGGCGCACCACTCGGTTCGCCTCTTCGCGCGGGCGAACTGCACGTTCCAGAGCGCTGCGAACGCCGCGCCGCGCCATGGCACGCGACAAGGGCAACGCGTCAGCAACTACGCCCTGCGCGTGGAGCGCGCGACAAAGACAGCGGAACCAACGTGGCGAGATGGAAACGTGGGAGCAGCGGAGGAAGCTGAGGCGGAGGTCGAGGCAGGAAGGCCCGCCCGCCCGCCAAGCCCTCTGCACGAATATTTCGCTACGGTGGCGATGGCGGTGCCTGTGATGATGAACCTGGTGATGGCGATGGACGTGATGATGTTCATGATGATGGCGATGATGGTGGTGATGGTTCGGGGGGATGAGGGTGACCAAAAGTATCACCTCGCGGAAACGCATGCGTTTTTCCGCCGCACGGACGCCACGCGAACCTAGAGAATGGAGACATCGACACCGACCGCGACACGTGATATTTTTGATCCCCCTGTTCTGGGCCCAAGACACGCAACGAGATCGCCAGGGACCGGTCCTGGGCGGGTCCTGGTCGGTTGGAGAGTCACTGTCCTCGTCGTCGCCGTCGCTTCTGATGATGTTCACGCTGATGACGATGACGGTGCCTATGATGATGAACCTGATGATGGCGATGCATATGATGATGTTCATGATGATGGCGATGATGGTGGTGATGGTTACCGTGGCCATGATCATGCTTAGGATGATGATGAAGATGGCGAGGGGCTTCTAGGGGAGTGATGACGTGCCGTTGGGGCCCTTTGGGGAGCCACCGCAGACCACAGGAGCACGGCAGACCATAATGCGACACGCTACACCGTGCTATGATGCGCGTCGGGCATCACGGCATGCGTTGTATCTCCATGGTGGTCTTGATGATGATGATGATGTTCATGATGACGATGGCGATGATGGTGATGATGATCGTACTCATGACCATGATTAGGATGATGATGAAGATGATGAAGGGCTTCTAGGGGAGTGATAAGGTGCCGTTGGGGCTCTTTGGGTGGGCCGCCGCAGACCACAGGAGCACAGCATACCATAATGTGACACGCTACAGCGTGCTATGATGCGCGTCGGGCATCACGACATGCGCTTCATCTCGTATCCTTGAAGCACCCTTCTCCCGTGACGTCACCGCCCGAATCCTGGCCCGAACGCATTAACCATAGCACTTTAAGCCAAAAAAGCCGAACCCCCCAAGCCCTCCCTCCTCTCCCCTCCCCCCCACTCCTCCTCCTCCCCTCTCCCTCCTCCTCCCCTCCTCCTCCTCCTCCTCCTCCTCCTCCTCCTCCTCCTCCCCCCTTTTCCTTTTAACCCTCCTCTTCCTCCTGCTTTTCCTCCTTTTCCTCCTCCTCCTTCTCCTTCGTCTCGCCCTCCTCCTCCTAACGGTCAGAATCGACGACGACGAGGGCGACGAGGACCATATTGCTCCTCCTCGTCCTTCTCCCCCTCCTCCTTCTCCTCCTCCTCCCCCAGTGGCAGCGTCGACCGACGGCCGAAGCAAGAGTTGACGACGAGGGGTCGCCCTGGGGGCCACCGCGCACCACAGGAACACGGCGGGCCATAATGTGCCACGCTACACCGTGCTCTGTTGCGCGGCGGACATCACGACGTGTGTTGTGCATTTATCTTTGGAACAAATTAGGAAATCCTACTCGATGTCAAACGTTTCCCAGAGTGCTGAAGGGATGAGAACGCGCAGGCCCCCCACAAGCGCTGCGGCAGCGAAGTGACGAAGGAATTGGTTGAAGAGGCATGAGGCTGCGCCCCAGAGACAAGCCCCGCTCCTGAGCAAGACGGGCAGCCGAAGGAGGAGGAGGAGGAAAAGGAATGCCCAAGCACTTCAAACAACACGGGGATGTCAACCCGCGCAGGTTGTGGATATCCGGACAACTCGACGCGCAAGCAAGACAGTGGCCTTTGGGCGGGAGGACGAGGAGCGGCTCGCTGATCCGCACTGGCCTCCTCACTCACTCCGCGCCGACCTGCGCCCGGACGTCCAGCTCGCCGTCCTCGCAGCTCGCCATCCTCAATCGCCAGCAGGGGCGGCGGCGGCTGCTGCTGAGCCAGCTGGCCCGGCCCAGCTTCGCGAAGGGGGTTATGCATGCCCTGTGCCCCAACTGCGACCGCGGCCCCGGCAGGCGGCCGCGCCACCCGGAAGCGCGCAAGACCAGGCGGGCAAAGTAGGAGGACTGCCGCGTGCGGGGTGCCCCAGAAACGGTTGTATTTGGCCAGCGCACTGCAGACAGGGCCAGCGCAGCCGGCGCGAAGCATGCGAGGATAAAACGGATGGGACCCCATGATCGCCCACGACCTCTTCTCGCACACGAAGACGCGCTTCGTCGGCGAAACGTACGCCGTGGCCGTGTTCTGCGCGACGCCAGCCTCCCTGATGAGCTAGACGCTAAACGAGAACAGCACATGGGGTGCGAGGCGATAGTCCTCGTAGCTAGCGGGCGGCAAGTCCAAGAAAGCTGCCGCGGGGAGGATGACGGGCGCCGCCGTCGCGCCGGGGCGAGTGGGCGACTCGACGACTCAGCGCAGAAAAGGCGCAGTGCAGAAAAAAACACCCCCCCGCGCGTAGGCCGCAACAGCGGCAACGGGTGAGCAACAACGCCCTGTGCGTGGAGAACGCGACAAAGGCAATAGAGCCAACATGGCGAGATGGAAAAATAAGAGCAGCGGAGCAAATTGAAGCATAGGTTGAGACAAGATGGCCGGCGCGCCTGACAAGACCTCTGCGCGAATTTCGCCGTGCGCGAGCGGCCGCGCAACGCAATGCGATGATGCGGCGGCGGACATCAAGACATGTGCTCCATCCGTGTAACTGGTCGGCTGCGCGCACGCTTCCAACAATCGTCGATGCAGCGCGATGGCGACGGCAGCGGCTGGGAAATATCAGGCTGCGCCCCAAAGCAAACTCCGAAGCCGGAGCGGGAGAGGCAGCCTGAGGAACAGGAGGGAGAGGAGGGGGTGGGAGGCCAGGCAATCAGCAACAATACTTCGGCGGGACTTTCGGTGCCCGTGATTTGCCTTGCCACCCTGTGCTCCATCTTTTGGGACTGATCGGAATATTCCATTGGGGCCGGAGTTTGTCCAGAAAGCTCGGGGGAAGAAGCATAGGCACCTTCATCAAGCGCCACAGCAGCGAACTGTCGAGGAAAAGTGGCCGGGCAAGTATTAGGCTGCGCCCCGAAGCGAAACCCTTCTCCGGAGCAGCATTGGCAGCCGAAGGGGGAGGGGAAGGAGGAAGAGGACGAGGAGGAGGAGGAGGAGGAGAAGGAGGAGGATAGTGCCCAAGCACTCAGCAAAAAAAACGCAAGCTGCCAACCCTCGCACGCTGTGGCTTTCCCGACAACTCGACGCGCGCCCTGGCCCGC